CAATGTTAGCAGCACTGTTTCTTGCACTGTCATGTTGGCAGGTTTGACTCTCAGTACCTAGTGCAAGCGAAAACCGACACTAAGATGACGAACCTTTTCATTCCGCGACTGTACTTGCCACTTGGATACCTTGGTGATAAATACTAAAATGAACTTTGAAACTCTGAATCCATAATATTATCATTATCACCATGAAATGCACTATAGTCATTACTAACTACTTAACTAATGCTTGTTTACGTATAGCATTTGCGAACCAAAAAAAAAATGTATAGGTTAGATTAAACTTGATTATACTTTTATCAGTCATATTGAATTTTTTTTTATGTTTACACCCGCTCTTATGTTATAACGACATAAAACGAGATTAAACTTATCAAATTCAAAATAAATCACTCGGAAACTCGCCACCACAACAAAACAAAACTAACAGCAAACAAACAAGCAAGCGAATCACGACATTGGCTCTGATCCGATTCATCCACTCATTCAACGCGCCGAACATGACCGATAACAGCGCGGAAACTCCCGAATGCACATTCGGTTTCGGTCGTAGTTTCGGCAAGTTTGCCGCCGAAAACGAAACTAAACCGAAACTCGTGTTTTTACCGAAACTCAACCGAAAGCGAAACCGAAACCGAACATTCGGTCGGACACTAAAGTGAGCTATAAAAACTAGGACATGTACTTAAGAGCACTTTAAAAATACAGAAACAATTTTATCACATGAGATTTATCACGTATAACAAAATGTCAAAACAAAGTCACAACTAAAACAAAATTAGGAAAAAAATATGCACTTTAATGCAGCTACCAAATTATAAATGAAAATAGTTCTAGCAATGCTAATAACAGAAATTGGACTCACAATAGCATCGGGTAAGACATTTTTCCACTGACGATGGCCGATAATGTTTTTTTTTATTTTCAGGGAAAATTCTAATCAGCATTGAAGCCGATCTAGCCGACAAAGTTGGCAAAGACGGCAAGACGTACTGGAACGTCAAACGATTCTCTCACACCTACGAACTTCAGGACAAGGCTGACGTGGAATTCGAGAACTTATTTTCAGGGAACGACGTGTTAGGTTTGTGTAAAATATAATTTGTGCTTTTAATACACTTTCGCCACAAAACCAGTACAGAGAAACCCTTTTATAACGTTGAGTTCAGTCCACAAAATTGCTAAGCTGCTAATGTGACGAAGGACATCTGTCGTATGTTTATAAGTTAGGTCTTGAGATTTCTTTGATTTCAGACGCACAGTGAAAACTTTATAAAAGGTACTAACTTTTGCCCGCGGTTTCACCCGCGTGAAATTTAGTTTATCACAAATCGTCATAAATTATAGCCTGTATGTTATAATTCTGTAAAGTTTCATCAAAATCCGTTCACCAATTTTTTGGCGTGAAAGTGTAACAAACATGTTAACATACAAACTTTCACAATTTTAATATTAGTAGGAAGTAGGATAGGAAATAGGATTTCAACTGAAAAATAAACCAATTTATTTGAGCCCTTTCTTCAGCCCTCTCATATCATGCGTTCCAATTGCGATCTGGGACGTCCACCTACAAGGTGGACCGACGACATCATAAAGGTAGCAGGGAAGCGCTGGACGCAGGCCGCTACCAATAGATCAACGTGGAAAGCATTGGGGGAGGCCTATGTTCAGCAGTGGACGAAATGATGATGATAATGAATTGCGTTCTGTATACAATTTGGTTTCCAATTCCAGGTCAAGCTGCGAGTCAAGTCATAGCCAACAGTGGGAATGAAATCGTTCTTGAGGTTGGCCCACCGGTGGTCAAGGCACTGGTCACTAGGGTCGTCGTGAACATCAAGAAGTTCTTCAGCAACGTCCCCGTAGAAGACCTAAGCTTAGACTAAACCTGAGAGAGCACTGGACTTAAAATCAATCATAAATTTTAAAGATAATCTCAGTCTTCACAATGTCCCTACAGTTTAAATGTAACTATAGTCTGGTCCGGGAGCACGTAGAATTTTGTCCAATGACCCCAAGCTACCAATCCTTATCGCTCGCGCGTAATTATATTGCTGTCGCGACTGTGCGACGCGCGCCCGCAGTGAGTGTGCGAGCGCGACAGCAACATAATTACGTGCGAGCGACAAGGATGAACAGCTTGGGGTCATTGGACGGGATTCTACGTGCTCACGGACCAGGCTTTAGTATAGACGTTCTCCTATTGTTTAATGTAATTTTATCGTCAAGATACCATGAGCATTGTTTAAGACACAATAAAGTTATTTATTATTATTAATTTATTATTATATTATTACTCAGTCAGTGAGGTATGGAAGCGGAATGAGAAGGTGTTTTATGACGGTCAATTGTCAGCGAAATTTCAGATTTGTAGGCTGTGACATGTCATAATATGTCAAAGTTACCTGTTTCTTCTCAGCACTTGCCATATTAAATGTTTGTCTCAAAGCGCTGGTAGGACCCCAAAGATAAGGAGACATGTAAAGTGCCCCATAAGGGCTACCTTTTTTTATATAAACTATATTTTGACGTTCTTAAGTGCCACTTGTGGTCTAAATTGAATAAATATTTTTGATATTGATTTTGATTTAGGCACTGGCTGAGTTAAGCGCTTTACCTACTTCTATTAGATTACTATGTATTATGATGGATATTTCGATGTTGCATAGTTATTATAATGCAAAGCTTAATAATTATAATTTAAACTAGCGGCCGCCCGCGACTTCGTACGCGTGGATCCCGTTTTACCCCCTTCATCTATCTTACGCGGTTTAGATTTTTTCATACACATGTTTTTTTCCGCTAACTCCCGTTCCCGTGGGAATTTTGCAATATCCTGTTGTAACTAAGCTTTAAGTTTACTAAGGTACCTGCATGCCAAACTTCAAGCGTCTAACTTAAGCGGTTTAGATTTTTCATACAAATGTTTTTTCCCGCTAACTCCCGTTCCCGTGGGAATTTTGCAATATTCTGTTGTAACTAAGCTTTAAGTTTACTAAGGTACCTGCATGCCGAATTTCAAGCGTCTAACTTAAGCGGTTCAGATTTTTCATACAAAACGATTTTCCCGCCAATTCCCATTCCCGTGGGAATTCCTAAGTATCCTATAACCTGCCCAGGAGTATGAAGAATAATTGTACCAAGTTTCATTAAAATCCGTCAAGTAGTTTTTGTTTCTATAAGGAACATACAGACAGACAGACAGACAGACAGACAGACAGACAGACAAAAATTTTACTGATTGCATTTTTGGCATCAGTATCGATCACTAATCACCCCCTGATAGTTATTTTGAAAATATATTTCATGTACAGAATTGACCTCTCTACAGATTTATTATAAGTATAGATAAGTATTGTCATGCATTATTCAGACATTATTTTGCTTTAATTAAAATGCATTTACACATACACATAATTATTTTGTTTCTATGTCAATCGATTGCTTATTATAATGTTAATAAAAAGATAAAATAAAAATTGTGATTGTAATTTTCATATGACTTGACTTACTTGACTTATGGTCCTATGTCCCCTAGATGGGGCAGAGGGCGTCCACAACAGCCCTCCATCTCGTTCGGTCTTGAGCTTCTCGCTTGTTCTCGCTCCAGGTCTTGCCGATCTTCTTCGCCTCGTCCGCTACAGTGCGCCGCCAAGTTTGCCTGGGTCGACCACGTTTGCGTTTTCCTTGGGGATTCCAATCCAGAGCCTGCTTAGGGATGTGATCGGGGTCCCTTCGAAAAGTGTGGCCAATCCAGTTCTACTTGCGGCGCTTGATGTGCTGGTCGATCGGAATTTCGTGGCAGCGTTCCAATAACTCGACGTTGGAGATTTTCTCGGGCCAGTATATACTGTATACGGGCATATGCCGAGAATTCGGCGAAGGCAGCGGTTGATGAAGACCTGCAGCTTGTGCGAGATAACCTTGGTGACTTTCCACGTTTCACACCCATAGAGCAGAACGGATTTAACGTTTTGGATTTTTTTTAAATTTATTAATTGTAAACTTAGACGACAAGAAATTTTTTATTTAATTTAATCCAATTCAATTCATTCCATTTATAATTTATTTCAATTTAATTTATATCAATTCAATTTAATTTTATATCAATTCAATTTTATTTATATCAACTCAATTTAATTTATATTATTTCAATTTTATTTAATATTTCAATTCAATTTAATTTATATCTGATAATACAATTTAAATTAATATAATTTTTAATATAGAATTTTGGTTAGATTATCATTTCTCTTGTAGAAATTGTTTAATCTATTAGTATTTTAAAATGTTCTCGCCTTTGCTAGCTATACTTGCTCAAATCCGNGCCATTTTCCGCAGTTTGGCACCTCACGTCACATCATTTTACCGAAGTCAGCCCTATAGCTTCGGCGCAGTGCCGATCGACGTTTGTCAACAAAATGGTGCTTGATTCTTGAGACAGGCTAAATTACACCATATTGTTAATGACATTGAGCATACATTTTTTTAAATACCTTTGCGAAGTAAAACTTCTGTACGTAGTACCTACTTATTATTATTCTGTGGTAATAGGTAGTACACATATGTATGTAGGAATATTTAATGAGAAAAGCGGAGGAAACTGGTTCGCGTATCGGCAAACTTACCATAGAGTTGGCAAAATTACCGCTTGCTTGATGGCCTGATGATCTCTGGATTATGTTTGGCAGAACAGGAGGATAAATGCGGGAGATCGTGCTTTATTTTGGGGAGTCTTTCGTCCAGCAGTCTGCCTTCACTGGTTGGGTTTTTATTGGCGGTCAAGCTGTAGATCCTGGCTACACAGGAGTTGCAGCGGCGGGAACGAGAGGTGGGAATAGTCCCGTTCCAACAGTGGATCGATAAAGGCTGAATGATGATGACGTTAAGGATGATGATGATGAGTCTGTTAATGCAGGTCCTCCTGTCACAGACACCGTTGGCAGGATTTTCTTATGATACACTCGTACATATTAGGTATAAATACGTATAGCCACATTAATCCACAGTCCAACGTAATCGAAAGCTGTAAGGTTTCTAATGAAACGATGTAGTTACGATTGAGACCACATTGCTACCAAAATAGATTTACTTCTCTAGAACTTCATCGGAAAGTCCCGAATCTAGATTGTTTTTAGGTCTAGCTTTGATAGTAGATACCTACCTTGTTTTAGTATTATTTTTCAATTGTCACACCATTATTAACTTGCCACAAGATTTTAAGAATTTGGGTGTCAAAATTAATCAAGTATGAAGGTCAAATACTACAAAATTAACTGTCCGTGGGTTTGGCTCTCTCTTGAGGCCATTAGTGAAATATCTATACTTAAAAGTTGCAAAGAGTTTGTTTGAACGCGTTAATTCTCAAGAACTACTGGTCCGATTTGAAAAATTACTTTGGTTCTGAATAGTCCATTTTTTGAGGAAGGCTTTAGGCTCTATAACATCACCATACAGCTAATACGGGCGGAGCAGTAAAGAAAAATGTTGCAAATACAGGAAATATTATTCAAACTATTTTTACACGTACGAAACTACGAAGTTACGGGCACAGCTAGATTAATAAAGCGTTAATTTAAGTAAGTAATGTAATGAATGAATGGTGATAGTAAAACAAGGGTTGCCAAAATAAGAACCGCGGGTCAATATTCTAGTCTAAGGGCCAATTTTGGCCCTTGAAAGGCCTCATTCAAGCCCCCAAAACGTTAAAACTAATAACGACAAAGTTTTAATTGGAGATCGTTAAATTACATTCCAGTTGTCACTTGGCTTATTTTAACTTCTGACTACGGTTTGGCCGGTTTAAATTTCGGTGTTTGACGGTTTTTATTTACAATTTCATGTGTTTTTCGGGGTAGCCGGGAAGTATATTTTCTGCTTGATTCAGTTCAATACAAAGGCGCAAGCGGTTCGAGTGCTAAATCATCATCATCATCATCAGGTGATTTAGTGATGACTGCAGTAGGATGACCCTCTCTAATTTTTAATGAGGTAAATAGAAAATTAAGCCTACACTCTTCACAATGGCTATGTGTTCGGGAGGCCTGATGTAGAGATGTTCGCATGTCGCAAACCATCTTGTAAGCAAAATAATGATGTTGCCTTGACCCTCTTTGATAATTTTGCTATATTCTGGCCCCTAAATATTCTCACCCCTAAATAATGGGTACTTGGCCACACGCAATGGGCTGGGATAGTTCGGCAGTCATTCACAGCCATGGAAAAGGACAGACGTTCCTCTTTGTACTCTATTGATATCAACCCTACTATTGAAAAAAGTGATACGGAAAAGGTACCAGAGACAAGTCGACAGGTCAGTTATTTATCTAATTAAATACCAGTTAACTATCAAAATCTGTAATTAGTGATGTCTCGCAGTCGCAAGTGACAGTGGGCGGCGCTTGGCCTTGAACAGACGATGTTGTGGCAGAAAAGTTCTATAGGGCGCAGTTACACTACACGAAATTGATCGAACACTAGCGCGAATACGCACATGGGAAGTATGGACGCATGGCCAAATGAAGAATTGTTTACAGTTTAAACTAACTCCGTTCGTTCGTTTCAGCCTAATGACGTCCACTGCTAGCTATAAGGCCTCCCCCAAGGATTTTCACAAAGACCGGTCCTGCGCCGCCCGCATCCAGGCACCTCCCGCGACCTTCACTAAATCGTTGGTCCACCTAGTGGGAGGCTTGCCCACACTACGTCTTCCGGCTCATGGTCGCCACTTGAGAACTTTTCTGTCCCAGCTGCCATCAGCTCTGCGAGCTATGTGCCACGCCAACTGCCACTTAATACTAGCCATTCTGCGGGCCATGTAAGTTACACTAACTGATTCGATAGTGTAACTACGCCACTAGAGTTACAATCATGGCAGACCTTAACCACTTGGACCGTTGACCTCATTAAAATATGCGGGAAGTGCCTTGCTTTTATCCTGCAGAAGACCACTTTCAGCTGGGGGAGGAGAAATACGTCCTAGATAGCTTTTTTACCTCGGAGAGTTGGCCTGAAACTTAGGAATTTGAAGGAAATTTAATTATACTTTGAGCCCATTTATGTCGCTATCAATCAATTACCTAGTATTGGTTGGTAGGTAGTTGGTGTACTAAACACAATTTACACAATTCTTTATTAATTAGTTAATTATACTTCTATTTCATAAGCCTCTGGTTGAAATTGAATGTGTGATTGTAGTAACCTAACTAATTAACCGCTACGTTAACAAGGTCGAGTTAGGAAACTAATTGATACTATAAAGTGATTCAGCAGACAGAAAATTGCTAGTTAGGCTCCTAGTTTGAAAGTGGAAAAAATAAGCTTTTGGCTTGCACACTGGAAGAGTGGAAAAATCTGGAAAACTATTGGAAAGTTTCAGAGATACAGGCTATTGTTTCTGTGACCACCATAAAAGAAAGAATCCCATTCCCTACCTTTGTCTATTGAAGTGCGAAGGCGAGGTATTGAATTCCGCTCGTAGGAAGAACGGATATTAAAAAACTTTTGAGAAGCTTACGAGCAACTATGTGAGCTTACGAGAAACTACCACCCTGAGTAGGTTACACAACTGGGCGAAAGAATAGGTACAACATTTGATTAGGTACGTGAGTGATGGTGATTACCAACAATCATACAGGGATATTTTGCACAGTTGTCAAATTTTTAGGAGCGACTCAGAATCAGTAACTTAATCGATTTGTGTCTTATCCTTGTGTGTTATAGCAACTAGGTACTGAATAAACTGTTAGTTGATAAGTTTATTTAGGTGAATATTTTTATGACCGACGTTTACTGAAATCAATCAGTTAAAGTTGTATCGCAACCCAGAAGGGCTACTAGTAATCCAAGATTCCAATTTTGAACCCTTTTGTACTCGTAAAAATGAGTCTACTTTTACATTAGGCAATTTTGCCACGAAAGTAATTTTCGTAATTTTGTCTGTCTGATAAATTTATTGGTTAGCTATTCTGATAAGAAAATCTGCCGAAAATTCTTTGCGATGCAGACTAAAATCGGCGCGGGCAGAAAACGTCTCATTGATACCTTATCAATATTTTACTAAAAATTCGCACCCCCTTTTTCCGTGCTATCTTTAGTCAGCCCATTTTGTTGTCAGTTTTTTGCGAAGTGTTGACAAAATAGAACTAGAAGTTTATGAGCAATTTCCAAAGTGCATATCCAAACGTGTTATTGGAACCGTGACGCTATTTCAGTAACGTGTAGGGTAATTGCGCCGGTTTTCCGTCCAGCTCCTGTTTTCGTCCATTTGACCGACTTGCCACAAACAAATACGGAAAATTAGAATACAAACCTAACTTTCCGTGCAAGTTTGGACTTGTTACAATCTATAATATCTAAGTAACAGTTCTGCCTGCATGAAAATGTAATTTGATAAGTAATAACTCCAAAAAAATCTACGGAAGTTGCTGCTGCACACAGGTGAATGGAAAACGTCGTCAAGTTAGAGAAAAAACGTGTCGGTAGGGAACTTTCATGGTATGTTTAATTACTGTTTTAGCTACTTTAACGTAATGTTTTGGCACGTATGTCTAATTATTAGCATAATAAACACTATTTTAAGGGTTTATTAAAGTTTTTGTATAGAAATCTTAGATAATTAAGTGGACTAATACTAGCATAACATTTTTGCAAGATTTTGGTTTTCGTCCACGTGGACGGATATATAAAAGAAAGTCGTGTTAGTTACTCCACTTATAACTCAAGAATGGCTGAACCGATTTAGCTGAAAATTGTCAGGGAGGTAGTTTAGAGCCAGGAGAAGGACATAGGATACTTTTTATCCCGTTCGAAATTAAAAAAAACGTCTGCTTATTTATTGCCATTAAGGCGGAACAAAGTTCGCCGGGTCAGCTAGTATTTTTTAAAAATAATGATGAATATTTTTTTCAGTATCATCGATAACAAAATGTACAGCAGCTGATTCGAAGTGCATCGTGCAATCTGCTCAAGTAATCATCCCAATTTTTGCCAAAGGCATTCCTGAACTAGGCGTCGAAAAGCTAGATCCTTTGCTTTACAAAGGAACTATTGACGCAAGCACCGCTGGGCTGCAGCTGCTTCTGTCAAATATGACATTTACCGGATTGAAGGATTGTGTCATAAAGGAAGCTCAGTAAGTTGTAATTGAATTATCGTATTGATGGTTTTATTTTGTTCTACAGACTGTGTTATTTTTATACTTGATCAAACATAAAGGGTTGATTCTACTGCTCAAATGCAACAACTTTTTCCTAGACAATCAAGTTCAAATATTTAAAAATAAATCCATTCAAATTATCATCAGCAATCATCAGTCATATTATGGGACGTAATTTTTTTAAATTTGACATCACGGTCTTGTTGTAAAAGTACCTAGTTGAATAGCATATAATCTTTATCTTTAAAATCTAGAATCTTGAGAATTCTTGCCGCATTTTCAAACATCACTTTTTAATTGTTTGTTTTCTCAAGTACGAGTATGCCAAGAGGTATTGCAAAAACATTGAAGAAAACCATCCATCATATCATAAATACTTCATAGCTCATCATAAGTTTTACTTCACATTAAACAACTGATAAATTGTCGTATTAGCACCTATCTCAGTTTGTTTTAAATTACAGGGCGTTTGTAATGCACATTATTAATATTCAAATTCAAGGTTGTGTCGTTTGCCTTGTCCAAACTCCAAGTGTCAAGTTAATAATCAACAACAAAACTAATAAAAAATGATCGGAAGTTTGACCTAGAAGTTTCAAATGATATAATAGTAACCTGTTGAATACGTGTTTCTATCAAATGGAGTCTTGAACTTGACTTTATTGACCTTTACGTATAGTTTCATTGGGGCATTTTAACGAATGTTTTTGTGTTAACAGAGTAAATACCAATGAGTAGGTCATCTTCATAGAAACGCCCGAGCGCGGTTTGTATGTGAGGGCGCCAATACGTATGCGGCGCGCACGCACACACTGACAAAATTTAGCGTTGATTAGCGGTGAGCCGTGAGTTGCCCCATTTGTATTTACTCTGGTATTAATTTCTATTAAATTCCGGCATAGTAGAGTAGGGCCACTCGCACTCTTTCCGTGGATAGATATAATAAAAGGCGACTAAGGGTTAAACGTGTGAACATCAACCCGTCTGGGCAGAGCATGGGAGTATAGTTCAAATCTTTAATTTACCTCTGATAAATTAGAAAGGGCCTTGCTCTTGCAGAATAGACTAAATGATCTAATGATGATGATTATTGAAGTGTTAATTTTAACTCTTTTCATTTTCATAGAAGAGACAAAGCCAAATCAAAGATCGAAGGAAAGCTGCTGTGTGATGTAGACGCAAATGGAATCTATGAAATAAGCGGTAAACTGCTCATAGTGACGGTTCGCGGACAAGGAAACATACATGTTGTGCTTCGTAAGTACCTTTTTAGTCATTTTACTTACCAAAATAATTTTGAGTTTTAAAGCGACTCAGTTTTGTTTGATAACAGTACGACTTACGCATCACCTTAATTTTAACGGGCGTTTTGGTTTTTCGAGATTTGGCAAATTTTTGTTATTTTAAAGTAAGATGGTACAACCCAGGGTAATCATTGTTACGTCACAGATAAAGATTGTATGACATCTCTAAGATATCTCAAAGAACGAGGTTAGAGGGTTTATTTGCATTTTATTTGATGTTGATAATTTTTCACGTTTTTATGGCGTAATGTCTACCTCTAACTAGAAAACTATTTCGACGTGTACGAAATTGTGGACAATGTTTAGTGCTAAATTGTAAAACGACTGAATAACCCTTATTAAGTAACTTCGTAATTTTATATTCTTTTAGCCACATCAGCTAATCTAGTTCAGTTCTGAAAAACTGATTCATTTGGTAATGTCAAGCCAGTCGAGTTTCATTGTGCTTCCTCAACGCTAATTACAATAATTGTCTCGAAAAAGTGGTAATAAGTGAGCTATAAAAACTAGGACATGTACTTAAGAGCACTTTAAAAATACAGAAACAATTTTATCACATGAGATTTATCACGTATAACAAAATGTCAAAACAAAGTCACAACTAAAACAAAATTAGGAAAAAAATATGCACTTTAATGCAGCTACCAAATTATAAATGAAAATAGTTCTAGCAATGCTAATAACAGAAATTGGACTCACAATAGCATCGGGTAAGACATTTTTCCACTGACGATGGCCGATAATGTTTTTTTTTTTATTTTCAGGGAAAATTCTAATCAGCATTGAAGCCGATCTAGCCGACAAAGTTGGCAAAGAAGGCAAGACGTACTGGAACGTCAAACGATTCTCTCACACCTACGAACTTCAGGATAAGGCTGACGTGGAATTCGAGAACTTATTTACAGGGAACGACGTGTTAGGTTTGTGTAAAATATAATTTGTGTTTGAAGTACACTTCATCCGCAAAACCAGTACAGAGAAACCCTTTTATAACGTTGAATTCAGTCCACAAAATTGCTAAGCTGCTAATGTGAGGAACTGGACATCTGTCGTATGTTTATAAGTTAGGTCTTGAGATTTGTTAGATATCAGACGCATAGTGAAAACTTTATAAAAGGTACTAACTTTTGCCCGCGGTTACACCCGCGTGAAATTTAGTTTATCACAAATCGTCATAAATTATAGCCTGTATGTTATAATTCTGTAAAGTTTCATCAAAATCCGTTCACCAATTTTTTGGCGTGAAAGTGTAACAAACATGTTAACATACAAACTTTCACAATTTTAATATTCGTAGGAAGTAGGATAGGAAATAGGATTTCAACTGAAAAATAAACCAATTTATTTGAGCCCTTTCTTCAGCCCTCTCATATCATGCGTTCCAATTGCGATCTGGGACGTCCACCTACAAGGTGGACCGACGACATCGTAAAGGTAGCAGGGAAGCGCTGGACGCAGGCCGCTACCAATAGATCAACGTGGAAAGCATTGGGGGAGGCCTATGTTCAGCAGTGGACGTCCTATGGCGAAATGATGATGATAATGAATTGCGTTCTGTATACAATTTGGTTTCCAATTCCAGGACAAGCTGCGAGTCAAGTCATAGCTAACAGTGGGAATGAAATCGTTCTTGAGGTTGGCCCACCCGTGGTCAAAGCACTGGTCACTAGAGTGGTCGTGAACATCAAGAAGTTCTTCAGCAACGTCCCCGTAGAAGACCTAAGCTTAGACTAAACCTGAGAGAGCACTGGACTTAAAATTAATCATAAATTTTAAAGGTTAACTCAGTCAGTGAGGTATGGGAGCGGAATGAGAGGGTGATTGTCGGCCGTTTGGTGTAGTGGTTCAGAGCAGACTACTATGCCGAGAGGTCCCGGGTTCGATTCCCGGCCGGGCAGAAATTGAAATGATGAATTTTAATTCCTGTGACGGGTCTGGGTGTTACTATGTATAATATGTATGTATTTAAAAAAAAGTATATAAGTAGTATATCCGTTAAGCTAGCACCCATAACACAAGCATTAAGTTGCTTACTTTGGGGCTAGCTGGCGCTGTGTGAAATTGTCCAAAGATGTATTTATTTATTTGTAGGCTGTGACATGTCATAATATGTCAAAACTACCCCTCCCGTGCCGCTCCAATACCTTAGTTGTGACCTTAGTGAGTTTGTTCCGGCACTTGCCATATTATGTTTATCTCGAAGCGCTGGTAGGACCCCAAAGATAAGGAGACATGTAAAGTGCCCCATAAGGGCTACCTTTTTTTATATAAACTATATTTTGACGTTCATAAGTGCCACTTGTGGTCTAAATTGAATAAATATTTTTGATATTGATTTTGATTTAGGCACTGGGTGAGTTAAGTGCTTTACCTACTTCTATTAGATTACTATGTATTATGATGGTTATTTCGAAGTTGCATAGTTAAATAAGTATTGCCGTGCATTATTCAGACATTATTTTGCTTTAATTAAAATGCATTTATACATACTCACTTTGTTTCTCTATCAAGCGATTGCTTATTATAATGTTAATAAAAAGTTGAAATAAAAATTATGATTGTAATTTTCCTATACTACGTTTTATTCCTAACCTACGAATATTTTAGTATTATAATCCATAGTTAATAAAAAGTGTCTTACTATTAACTATTCGTAGTCTTGTTGACTCTTTTGCACGTTAGTATGTTGATAATAATATTAGCACTTGTACCATAATCAAATTATTTTTAGCTCTTTTTTGTTATTTCTATAGCAACTTCGAGTGTTTACAAAAAATCTCAACGGTCGAAAACTGATGTTTTATTCAGTATGACGTATATAACTGGTTGTTCAAACACAACTTAAAAATGTATGGCTGTTTATATGTATACAGGTATGCCAAGTTACTGACCTTATAAATGCGCCTATTCCAAGGAACATTAAGTCGACATCGCAAAGTTGCTGTCGAAAACGGACGTGCGTATCAAATATCGGAATGTCAAAAATCGTTTTTAGTTTTTTGATATTGGCGGCTATAGTTGATAATGGATTTTCCAATGCGGGTGAGTTATTTTTATTTTTACAGTTCATATTTTTTATTTACTTATTGTTTTTAAGTTTTTATGTTTAATGTAACGTATCGATTTCCGGTCAACAAGTAATATTTAAATGATTTTAATAACTTTGTTCGTAGAAATACCGGTACCTAACCGGTACCTAACCGGTATCTTTTTAGACAAAACTTACTAGTATTTAGATACTTAACTGCTGAAACGTATCAGCTGATGTTGATGATTTTGTGTTTTCAAATTACAAATCAAGTAATCAAATCAAATCGAATATTAATTTGAATTTTGCTATCTAAAGATTGATTAATTTCTTGATTATGTTTATCATTTCAAGTCACCACATACATTTAGCACTTACAAGCTCAAATGCTTTTTAAAAAGTAATCAGGTTCAGATTTAAGGTTATCATTTCTTTTTTCTTTTTCAGTGTCATCCCTAACGAAATGTAAAGCAGTTGATTCGGCATGTATCCAAAAGTCGTCTCAAGTCATGATACCGATCTTCGCCAATGGCATACCTGAGCTGGGAGTCGAACAGCTGGACCCTTTGATTTACAAGGGCACCATTGACGCCAGCACGTCTGGACTGAAGCTGCTCCTGTCAAACTTGACATTCACGGGATTGAAGGACTGCGTTATGAAGAAAATTCAGTAAGTTATAAGACCGCCCAAATTGTGCCGTTTTCATAATATACCTATTGCTTTTACTTGTCAGTTTTGTATGATCTGTTAAAGAGTATCTATTAACGATGCTCTTTATAATACAGGGTGTTTGGTAGAGGGTTAAACAAACTTCGTGGGTGTATAGCTAAAGTTATTTTAAGAATACAAATTCGCCCATTTGACCTCAAGTGAGCTACTTTTTTTAAAATTATTTTTTCTTATTAATTTGTTTTTTATAAACCCACGAAGTTTGTCTAACCCTCTACCAAACAGCTTGTATGTCTATCTACATTATTATAATATACAGAGTGTATAGGAAAAGACAGCAAATATTTCAACAGTAGACTTGTAACTAGTATAAATGCAAAATTCAAGGTGGTTCACCTTGTTCGAATTGCCTATTATTTTTTATTTTGCAAAAGAGGAATTGCAAATCACAGTTTAACCTCTATGTTTTAAAATAACAATATTGCTCCATTACAACCAGTTCCATAGAAAATATTGTGTTAATGTTTTGTCACGTTCTAAAAACTTAAATACTGCATATGGGTAACGGGTAACGATCAAAAAATATAAATTAACAAGAGATTACTCTTATATCGTGTGAAAAAAGATAAAATAGGTCGGTAATTATTACTAAAAATAAATAATTTACTCTCTAGACGGGACGTCGTGAAATCGAATCTTGAAGGACAGGTGCTGTGCGACGTAGACGTCAATGGACACTACGAAATGAATGGAAAACTTCTCATACTCACAGTCCGAGGACAAGGCAAAACTCATGTCTTTCTACGTAAGTTCCTTATTAAAACCAGTCATCAGTAACTACCTCTAGCACGAAAAACTTTCGTCTTCGAATCGATAAAATTCGATACCTAGCATTCGAACTCAACGATAACGTGATGATCTGGATTGTCAAAATTAGTTTCGTGCTACCATTTCTCATACAAAGTTCACTTTACGTCACGTTCACAGGGGCGCTGTGTTTTCATACTAAATCTTTTGATGGCGATTCGAATGCGCAAACGATTCGAAATCTAGTGTTTTTCGTGCTACAGGTACAGGCTGTTTAATTTTGTTGCAATATAGGTCCTTTTACGACTTCATAAGGTAAAACATATTTTGCAAACTAAGTAGGTGTACGAGTAAGTAATGGAGACTTTTAAAATTATCTTTTTAGTTTACTTTTCCGTTTTCGAAAGGCAGATTAATAACAGAGGTCTCATGGTCATTAAGATTGACGAGATAACGGTATCGTACAAAATCGAAAAAAATGCACCAATGTACCCAATGGTTTATCATGTCTCACGTGGGAATTGACACCAGGACCTGTAGAAGGAGAATATCCCACTTTCTAACTACATACTAAGTCATGGAAAAACTACAGCTGACAGAGTTAAGGAGTCAGTCCCTGTTTTTGCATTTTAATAACGAGTTAAAACATAGAGTAAATTAAATGACATAAAGTAATTTTTTGAACTGTCAAAATCTTCATAGATTTTTATAGCAAATGGAGTCTAACATAATCAGGCTGTCGACTTAACTGACTGAAAATGTATTGATTTTCATAATCAAACAATTATTAATATTTCTATATTTTCAGGTAAAATCTTGATCAATTTTGACGCCACCCTAAGTGACAAGGTCAAAGATGGCAAATCGTACTGGGATATTAAAAAATTCACACATTCCTACGAATTGGAAGACAAAGCTGACGTCGAATTTGAGAACCTATTTACAGGAAGTGATGTGTTAGGTAAGTAAACAATTAACAATGACGCATCTGTTTACTAAGTATCTTGAGCTTAAGATGTTTACACTGACTTCGGCTTGAAACCGTGATAAAAAATCTACGTACTTTAAGTTTTAACTCAAGAAATTTACAAGGGTCTCATAAAAAAAAACGACTGTTCACTGTGCAGTGTGTTACTTGAGTTCTTTTTCGATTATGTATTGAATCTGCGTCCTATCTTGGTCTTGACGAATAACCGATTATTTTTTATGATAATAATAGCAATGAAGCATTTAAGATAATAGTACTAGTATTTACTAGTTGAATAAGCCCAGTTTTTTTATTTATGTACTTTGTAAACCTACTCAAAATTTTAGTACAGACGAAAGAACCATCATTGACCTAGGATAAATGTTTATGTAGAAAATTCACTCTTGCTACAACAGCCTAAAATGCAGTATTTACCCTACAGTACAGTCGTACCTTTAGAGAGCCGCCTACCGGCGATTGACTCTACTACGCAAATACGCGTGAACCTTGATTTTGACCAGACCAAATACCAAAAAAAGACTTTACATCGCAAACTTTACTTTAAATTGCAAAATAGTTCTAACTACAACGACACAAGAAGCCGCATTGTAAAGCTTGATGTAATTACAATTAACTGACCATTTACTGATCATTTTTTCGTATATTTCCAGGTCGTGCTGCCAGTCAAGTCATAGAAAACAGTGGCAATGAGATTGTGATCGAAGTCGGCCCTCCAGTGGTCAAGACATTGGTCACTAGAGTCATTGCGAACGTCAAGAAATTCTTCAACCACGTCCCACCAGAAGACCTTAGTATAGATTAAACTATAATATAGATACCTACCTATGTGAGACATCTAATTAATAATAATAATAATAATAAATATCCTTGGACATTTTACACTGCGCTTCTAGTCCCAAACTAAGCAAAGCTTGTACTATGGGTACTAGAGAACGGATATAAACATACTTAAATACTTTTTTTTTTGTAAATACATACTTATTATACATAGAAAACACCCAGTCCAATACAAACAAATATGTTCATGCACACAAATGTTTGTACTGTGCGGGAATCGAACCCGCAACCTCCGGAATAGTAGTCCGTTTCGAACCACTACACCAAACGGCCGACAAGTATATGGATGTGGTTTATCTATCCTTGATTTTTGTTAATTTTCTTTGATACCTATTGTCTTTATTTATAAATTAATTAGTAATGAAACCTAATAAACAATGTTTTTTATTTATTTCCTCCAACTTTCTTCATCATCCGACGGGTACTCATGGCAGAAGTTCCGTAGAATAATGACTAAAAGTGACATACGTCATATATTTGATTAAAAAAATTCGCAGAACAACGACGGTTTATCACATACATCCATAATTTATCCTTACGTTACATTATTCTTATCCTTACATTATTCACATTAGGTAATTAGAATAATTTATACCTATTGAATAGGAAGAAAAAAAGAGTGGAATAAACCCATGTTTTGCATTTAATTTAAAAATAGATAATAACAACCTTCAATATCTCGTGTATGTTTTTTGTATACTTAAGACGTTAAATACATACAATGACTCATATGCTTTGATGTCCAAAAAAAACTAAAGTCATTACAAGCAAAAAGTATTAATTAAAGTTATTATTAGTAACGTTTTTGTGTTTGTTTTTTAAAATTCATGGTTACTACTCATTTGAATAAAGATAATAAAATCTTATCGATGATTTTAGACAACAAATGTTGGGCTTATCGCGTAAATCGATAAAAGGGCGTGATAACCGCTTATCGCAGCGCGCATCGTAGGCGTACTGGATTAATTTTATTTTGACGTACCTACTTACCTGTAGATCTTACACTTCATTAGTAAAAAAACTATTATCATCGAAACACACGCAGTGATTTTTTCTATATATTATAATTTCTTTTTTAATTAGTAAACCATTTTAATTCCCATTTGTTAATTATTCCATCGCCTGTCTACAAGCTTACGCGTATTTAGAGCCAATGCTTACCTAGGGTAATTAATCAAAGTTATGTAATAAGGTATAAAAACTCTAATTACTTCTATAATTAGAGAAAATTATGATAGTTAACCCTTAACGCGCGTCTGCCGTGACAAAATAGACACAATGAAATCTGTATTAAGAGATCCCACGCACTTAGTAATAATCAGTCAAAGTACAAGACTTTTTTTTAAGATATCGTATCTTCTATCTAATCTTATAACAAGGATTTACGCCCGTATTCACAAACATTACTATGAGATCCCACAGTGCGCGTGGACACAAGGTGACACACGAACCAATCACAGAGCTCTATTCAACGCTGTGTGTTCGATTTGCTGCTTCAATTAAGCAAGCATCGTATGTGAATCGTCATATTGACTGATGAACACGGTCAAGGGTTCAAGGCCTGTAAATTATCACGAGTATTTGTCAAGTCAAGTCAAGGATGTTTAAGGTAGAGGCCTACATTCTTGAATATTATGTACTTATCTACTCGCAAGCACGGGCAACATGGAAAGCATTGGGGGAGGCCTATGTTCAGTAGTGGTCGTCGTCGACATAGGTAATATGACCTATTCTTAATTTAGAGCTATTTGATATAATAGTAGAAACAACTCACATAACCAATTTAGGTACCGCATTTTAGTCAGTATTGTTTCACTACCAAACCTTTTATTCAAAGAATTACAATTACTTATTTGCACTCGGGCTAAATCAGTTCGTTAACTTTTATAAGCTGCATGTGACTGCATTCATTGGATTACGCATTGAAACAAAAAACAATCGATGTTAAAAATATTTTTGATTGACATCTTTTTCTTTAAAATTATAATGGAATTTCGGCATTATCATCTTAGTCTTTAAAAATGCAGTGGAAAGGTATTTCCCTTTAAACATTAAAAGATATTCGTTCAATTTGGTTGTGATTGAGACAAAAAATGTTTACGTATTTAGTGTTTGTGTCTTTGGTAATTACAGTGGTTTACGCTGATTCAGGTGATTTATATGTTTATTAATTATTATTGTTTGAGTTTAGATTATATTTAAATATAGAAGTAAACATTTATTATTTTAAGAGCGCTTGCTCTTACATTTATTTATTACTAGCGGCCGCCCGCGACTTCGTACGCGTGGACCACGTTTTACTCCATTAGGGGTGGAGTTTCGTAAAATCCGCTCTTAGCGCATACATTTTAAATTTCAACTCTCTTACTTTAAACACATAGGACTTTCATAATATAAACTTCCAACCCTCCTTTTATCTCCTTAGCCCCCGTGGTTGATTTCTAATGATACATTTTCAGTACATGTACCACCACTACCACCACCATTTCAGCCATAGGACGTCCACTTCTGAACATAGGCCTCCCCCAATGCTTTCCATGTTGATCGATTGGAAGCGGCCTGCGTCCAGCGCTTCCCTGCTACCTTTACGATGTCGTCGGTCCACCTTGTAGGTGGAAGTCCCACGCTACGTTTTCCGGTACGCGGCCTCCTTTCCAGAACCATTCTGTCCCATCGGCCATCAGTTCTGCGTACTATGTGCCCTGCCCATTGCCACTTCAGCTTGCTAATCTCCGTTGGGCTATGTCAGCAACTTTGGTTCGTTTACGGATCTCCTCATTTCTGATTCGATCTCGCAAAGAAACACCAAGCATAGCCCTCTCCATAGCACCACAATAGCACGCTGTGCAACTGAGCTTGTGTATAAGGCCTATAGTGAGAGGCCACGTTTCCGAGCCATAAGTTTTCACTGGTAACACACATTGGTTATACACTCTAGTCTTCAGGCATTGAGGTATTTTGGACGAAAAGATGTTGCGTAGTTTCCCGAACGCTGCCCAGCCGAGTTGGATTCGACGATTGACCTCCTTCTCGAAATTGGACCTACCTAGCTGGATCGTTTGTCCGAGGTAGTAGTAGTATACCTAGTTATGCATNAATTAATCAAAGTTATGTAATAAGGTATAAAAACTCTAATTACTTCTATAATTAGAGAAAATTATTATGATTGTTAACCCTTAACGCGCGTCTGCCGTGACAAAATAGACACAATGAAATCTGTATTAAGAGATCCCACGCACTTAGTAATAATAATCAGTCAAAGTACAAGACTTTTTATAAGATACGATATAATCTTATAACAAGGATTTACGCCCGTATTCACAAACATTACCATGAGATATCACAGTGCGCGTGGACGCACAAGGTGACACACGAACCAATCACAGAGCTCTATTCAACGCTGTGCGTTCGATTTGCTGCTTCAATTAAGATAGCATCGTTTGTGACTACGGGCGATAGAGTGGTGATGTAGAAATTATGCCTTGACTGAGGAACACGGTCAAGGATTCGAGGCCTGTAAAGAGCATGTAATAATGATTATCACGAGTATTTGTCAAGTCAAGTTCAAGTCAAGGATGTTTAAGGTAGAGGCACACTACATTCTTGAATAGTATGTATCTAAGTATTTAGGTGTAATAGGACCTTACCAGGGTTGTTAAGGTCCTATTACACCTAATGAAAATGGGATATTTCTAGCCATCACAAAAATCTGTAAAAAAAAATATGTAGGGAGCTTATTTCTTCACTAGAAACTGGTAAAAATTATTTATTAATTTAATTATTTAAAATTATTTTATTCACCTTTGTGTTTAAGAATTACATTCACCTAAACGCGACCAGTCGGATAGACCTTGTTTTCTGTGGCCAACGCACCTGTACACAACACTGAAGTTGTGGTGGCAGCAAAAATTGGCTACCCCTTTTTTTGGTACTAAACCTTTTATTCAAAGAATTACAATTTGCACAATAATGGTTAATCAGTTCATTAACTTTTATACACTGCATGTGCATGTGACTGCATTCTTTGGATGATACGTACTTAATTCGCATTACGCATTGAAACAAAAACAATTGATGTAAAAAATATTTTTGATTGACATCTTTTTCTCATTAAAATTATAATGGAATTTCGGTATTATCATCTTAGTCTTTAAAAATGCAGTGGAAACGTAGTTCCCTTTATACATTAAAAGATATTCGTTCAGTTAGTTTGTGATTGAGACAAAAAATGTTTACGTATTTAGTGTTTGTGACTTTGGTAGTTACAGTGGTTTATGCTGATTCAGGTGATTTATATGTTTATTAGTTGTTTGAGTGCAAATTATATTTAAATCTAGAAGTAAAAATTGTATAATTCCAACAGTATCTTCCTGTCCATGTATGGACAATTAAACGCTGTTGAAAAATTCTTAAACATCTATATAAATAAAATTGAATTGATGTTCGTTAGTCTGATTAAAACTCGAGAACGGCTGGGCCGATTGAGCTGATTTTGGTTTTAAAATGTTTGTCGTAGTCCAGGGTAGGTCTTAACGGTGAGTAAAACGTAATAAACGTAATATGCGCGCGATATTGTTTTTCTGTGACAGACAAAATTCCACGCGGGCGAAGCCGCGGGTGGAAAGCTAGTATAAAATAAAATAAAAAATTTCATAAGAGCGCTTGCTGTAACATTTTTTTTTATATTAATCTAGATTCTTAGAATGGCTCAGTTTATTAAAAAGTTACAATTTAATACATTATGTTAAAAGTTAAAGTAGGTCAGTATTATTTATTTTGTTATTTCTGTCCTTTGACTTAATTAAATCAGAGACAATTAAAAGTTAACAAAATATATCTTGTCTTTTGTGACGTCAACATGCTATGCTATTAAAACACACACACATCCTTTAATCAACAATCGATTTTCGTTCTTCAACAGTGTCCTTTATCACCAAATGCTATGCGAAAGACGACGAATGCATAACGAACTCTACAAACGCAGCTATACCAGTTTTCACTGCTGGTGTCCCCGAGTATGGTGTGGAAACATTGGACCCAGTAACCTTCGAGACCATAGACTCGTCTGCCCCTAACCTCAATTTGATGTTGGACTCTATAACCGTTNCGGCGCTCGGGCGAGTTAATAAAAGAAGCTACGCAGTCGTCGGAGCGCCACTACGTTTTCGTAATTCGAAGTGTAAACTTGAATAGTCGGACGGAGTTATTTTGATTATATTTTGAGTGTAACTTTTGTAATTATTTTAAAGTTAAATATATTTAGTTCAGTGAAGGCGTTGTTTCACTTTTCGTTAACAATAAATAGTAAATTATTTATTAGTAAATTCATACTACTAGGTATAATGACACGAGTACCTATTAATGATACGATCATGAAACAAGTGTTTATGTAACTAAAACCACACTATCTTAATTTAAAATATCAAATAAGGTAGTGCCTCTAAAAGTGTTGGGAGACGCTGCTCTATCTAATAAACTTTTCCATCGGGGACGTGACGGGAATCCAAACTAACCCATTCTTTGCTCACGCAGTTAACTTGGCTGTAATTGGATAGGTGGGTAAATGCTTTACCGACTTGTATTGCTAATTTTCACGTGTGTTACAGCGTTTGCGGTTTCACGGTTGGTGTAATGTTTTTATTACATTAACTCATGTTTATTTGCAAGCAATCATTTTTAAATGCTTTTGCTATGTTTTATTACACGCTGAATATCGGTAAGACATGTTAATACTAACAAAACCTACTAACACCAAAAAGATATTTCTGTATTGTCACACATGGTTCTGATAAATAAAAATATCTTTATCTTTAAAGTTGATTTTGTGGGAACGAGTTAAAAAGCCTAGAGTACGTACATGGGCTTATGCGTTAAGGCAATACTTTTGGGTAATTTACTTCATCATCATCATCATTCAGCCACAGGACGTCCACTGCTGAACATAGGCCTCCCCAATGATTTCCACATCGCCCAGTTGGTAGCGGCCTGCATCCAACGCATTTCTGCTACCTTTATGAGTTCGTCGGTCCACCATTTTGATTTTGTACGCTACTGCGCTATGCATCACCAGTAGGTACAAAGCTAATAAGTGTGACTACATTAATACTTATTGTTTTATCATATTACTCACTCTTATTAAAACTTTCACCTTATCTAATAAATTAAAAAAGATGCTTAACAAAAAATGCGTCATGTCATATTATAAAAGCGAAATTCTTGAGAGGATACCGAGAAGTGTAGGCGTTTCATGTAGTAAATTTGTGCGAGAAAAGTTGCTATTTTTGTCTTTACTTAATGAGCTTGATCACTTTGAGAAGATATCAGTCAATGAGATTTCTTAGAATTAACAAAGTTAACTCAGGTTCTATTACAAAAATGGATTGTGTATTTATACAAACGGCACGAGGTCGGAATGATTTGAATTCGAAATTAAGTTGCTGGAACCAATGCGGTTTTGATTTATATTAACCTTTAACTACTGACGTGGGGGCCTCTCAGGCCTTGCAAAAGTCAAATTGTTGAATTTTTCCTCTCCCACGTGCACGACACACGCAAATCTTTTAGTACCTTCAAGTTTCATTGCGCCGAGACTGTCAAAAACGGTGCACGTGATTGCACGCGCAATTTCAGTAGGTAAATTAATTTTAAAGTTTCTTGTGGGCCTCTCAGGCCCCCACCTCAGTATTGGCGTAACTTTTTTTGTCTATAGTTTTCATTTAGTTGTCGTCTTTTCTTGAAATAATTTGAAAAAATCTATAATATGGAGCCCACAGTACGTCGTCCGAGAGAAAGCGATATCTCGGAAGTAAAAATAACCAGCATTTAACGAAAACTAGAAGAACAGTAGTTTTTGGCACGTATGCTAGGAAATGATAAGCCTGTANTATTTTCGTTCAATGGGAAGTATATCGCACGCCGTCGAATTAAGGGTTAATATTTTCTAATTATCTGTCTGACGGACAAATAATTGAAATTTTTTCATCTAGCCTATTGTCTTGGTTGAAGGACCATATACATTCATATAGAACAACATGTCTGACAGCGTAACATCGTATTGCAGGTAGCGGGCAACCCTCGTAACTCGCTTCGTCACGGGCGCGGCTACGGGACGGTGGAGCGACTGGTGTCGGAGCAAGACGACGCGTGGGTGGTCGTCGCTACCGACGCGGACTGGGAGACCAAGTGAGTTGATTATCCTTCCTGTTTATGACAAACATCAAATAAGGAGGACGTTCTCAATACGATTGCAGGTTTTTGTCAATTAACTAGTCAATAAATAAATGAAGTTAGAGGAGCCATATGACGTGTTATAGCATTGAAAGGTGGAGTAAATGGGTTCTATGGGTAGATAGCCTATTTACCCATAAAACTCATTTATTCCACCTTTCCATTAATAGTGACTGAGTTTCTTGCGCTGCTTCTTCTCAGCACTGGCCCATTTATTGTCCTGAAGCAGTGGTAGGGTTAATACTGGGACGTATAAAAGTGCTTTTTTAAGCCTATTTGCAGAAATAAATGAGTTTTATGCATTTTTAAGCTAGGCTAAAGCAACAGATCTTCAGAGCATATCGGAGCATATTTTGAAAACACTCTGTATATAAAATACCATTATCGCAACATAATGTAATTATTTTATACGGGATGGAAGCGTATACTAGTTTGGAAACCGAATGTAAGGTACACATTTCAGACTGTAACTATTTTACATCGCGCGCAGTTTCCCGTCGTGCTCTCACTCTTGCATAGCTGTACATTTCCATTACTAATAAAAATTTAACACTCGTTGAACGGTGTTTTAAAGTAAAATTTAGTATGGAAATGACATTTTAGAACAGTGTTCAACAAGGGTGTAACTTTTCATTAGTAAGGGTGTGTGTGTTTATGTTTTAATAAATGCTGTCTTTCCAGAAGACTATAATTCGGGCCTTTTCAAGGCGCGAGAGTGAATTGGTATTTTCAGGGCAAATAATGTACTATCGACAACAGTGTTAACTGCCCATTGCCAGTCATGTCATCTCGTTCTATCGAAAAGAATCACCATTTGATTAGAGCGTGAGCAAAAACGGAAATGGATAGTTAACAGTGTGGCCGTGTGTACCATCTCAGACAGCATCCCACTTAACACCAGGTGCGATAGTGGTCGAATACCTGCCTGTTATGCATAAAAAATATCTTTGATGTCAATAGAATAGAATAGAATAATCTTTATTGCCAAAATTGTGACAATGTGCTGGTCACAATGCGAAAAAAATAGTTACAACAGCGTTACCCATATCGGGCATGCAATAGTTAAAATACAGTAATAAAGTTAATCCTATTGAAAGGCTCTTATGTTACACTAGCGGCCGCCCGCGACTTCGTACGCGTGAATCCCGTTTTTCCCTCTAATTCCCGTTCCCGTGGGAATTTCGGAAATTCCTTTCTTAGTGCACCTCTACGGTACCTAAGCTACGTCCCTTCCAAATTTCAAGTGCCTACGTTTAGCCGTTTATGCTGTGCGTTGATCTGTCAGTCAGTCAGTCAGTTTCTCCTTTTATATATTTAGATAGATATACCTGAGCAAAGATCTTGTAAAGCGGCTCCAAAATAAACTCCACGAAGCTTCTCTGCGCAGACGCGTGCGGCTGCTTCTTGGTGAAGCGCCTGGTCTTGGTGTTGAAATAGACATCTCCCGACGATGTAGAGATGTAGAGTTTAATATGTATAATATGTATGTATTTAAAAAAAAAGTATATAAGTAGTATATCCGTTAAGCTAGCACCCATAACACAAGCATATTAATTGCTTACTTTGGGGCTAGATGGCGCTGTGTGAGATTGTCCAAAGATATTTAATTATTTATTTATTTATTATTATTCATTCAACTCCAGGTACATTTGGCGCCGCAACTCCGTGGTCCTGGGCACGAGCCACGCCCAGCTACAGTGGGACATCCCCGCGGGAACGCAGCCTGGCACGTACCGCCTGCACCACTACGGCAACTACAAGTACATCCTCGGCGGCATCTACCCCTACCACGGCTTCTCCGACCCCTTCGAGGTCAGGTAACTGACCTCTATCGGTTTGTAACACAAGATTTTCAACTTTCGCGTTCCATTTCAAATTAAATAGAAAGACACGGGTCTTAAGTCAAGCCGTGAGTACATAGGCGGTTATCACCCTGCGCCGCGGTCCGCGTGATTTCATATAAAAAATCCTGCGCGCAGACGCATTGCCACTTGCCAGTCTGTTGTGCCGCGCGCGCGTGTTTTCTATACAAACTGAGGTACTTGCATACAATGATTAAATCTGTCGCCCCGCGTACCACGGCTTCTCCGACCCCTTCGAGGTCAGCTAACTGACCTCTATCGGTTTGTAACATAAGGCTGAGTTGCACCACCTTATTTTAACCGTGACAATAACAGTGACCGGTGCCTTTTGTATTGCTGCTTTTACACTATGCGGAAATTAGCCGAGTCAAGTCAAAAATACAGAGGAGTGGGGATGAAATTAATTCATAATTCATCCCCACTCCACTGTTTTTTTTGACTTGGCTAATTTCCGCGCAGTGTAAACGCAGCATATGGAGTTTGACAGATTTATGACGTTTGTCGAAGTTAAAGTAAGATGGTGCAACTCAGCCGATTTTCAACTTTCGCGTTCCATTTCGACTTAAATAGAAAGACACGGGTCTTAAGGGGGTCCTGCACAGAATCCTTAAAATTGTCATATTTTTAAATCACGAGTGCTCTGCGATTAGTGACTTAAATACATCAAAGTAACTCGTGTAGGGTAGCCCAATCTTTGATCTAGGTCGCCGCCTTTTCGAAATTTTGAATAAATACGTAAAAAATTGATAAACAACATTTAAAATGCAGACATATGGAAAATTTATTTCTTCGAGAACTTTGTTAATTTAACGTATGAAGCAATAATTTTTATATGGAAATGTTTAAAGTAATATTTTAAAGGTCGCCCCCTTTTTCGTTTTTGGTATTAATGCATTAATATTGAGAATTTTTGATTTTCCCAAAAAAACTTTGCCGTGAAGAAATCATCAGGCGTTTTGCTTTATCGTAGCTGTCAAGTGTCAAATGTGTGTTTGTCAATCCTTTACAGAGTAGTGTATAGTTCCAAAATACTGGACTGTCCTGTCGATGACATTGACAGTGGGGCGCCACCGTCAATACCGGATCGCTGGTTCAGATTTTTGC